ACGTGAAGCATAGCTTGACACAAGTGTCTTTCCCACTGCGATCTACGGGTAAAATCCCCATTCTTCATGGCAAAGGCCTCCCAGGGGTTCAGTCACATTCTTAGGCTTGCGCACTGCAAACTGCTTTCTTTAAGTCCCACCAGAGGTTTTCAATCGGATTTAAGTCTGGTGACTGCGATGGCCACTCCAAAATGTTCAGCCTTTCCTCTGCAACCATGCTCTAGTGGACTTGGAGGTATGCTTGGGATCATTGTCCTGTTGAAAGGTCCAACGTCTCCCAAGCCTCAGGTGTGTGACGGACTGCATCACGTTTCCATCCAATATCTCCTGGTACTGAAGAGAATTCATGGTACCTTGCACACGCTGAAGCTTCCCTGTACCTGCAGAAGCAAAAAGCCCAAAGCATGATTGACCCTCCACCATGCTTCAACAGTAGGCAAGTCAATTTTCATCATAGGCCTTGTTCTTCCTCTCCAAACATAGGGTTGATCCATGGGCCCAATTTAGTTCTAATTTTGTTTCATCATCCACAGAACACTATCCCACAACTTTTGTGGTTTGTCCACATGGCTTTTGGCATACTGCAGTCGACTCTTCTTATTCTTTGAGACAGAACAAAAGGGTTACGCCTGGAAAGTGTAACCCTGGCACGGAGGAGCCTTCATTACGCAGTGTGCGTCTTATTGTCTGGGCTGAAACTTCTGTACCCACATCTGACAAATCTTTTCTCAGTTCCTCAGCAGTCACACGGGGACTTCTCTCCACTCTACGCTTCAGGTAGCGCACAGCAGGGAAGTCAGCATCTTCTTTCTGCCACGACCAGGTAGCGTTTCAACAGTGCCCTTTGCCTTGAATTTGCGAATGATGCTTCCTAAGGTGTCTCTTGGTATGTTTAACATCTTTGCAATCTTCTTATAGCCATTGCCCTTCCTGTGAAGAGAAATCACCTCTTCTCTTGTCTTCCTGGACCATTCTCTTGCCTTCACCATGTTTGTAATTGCACACCAGTAAATGTCTAGAAGGAGCTGAGTATCACTTCATTTTAAAGCTGCCTAATTGCTTGCTTATTATGCTTGATTGCTGCTCGGTGACATCCACAGGTGTTTTCAATACCTGATGGAAAAAAGCACCTGTATGAACCTCTGTTCTTCAGAGTGGTAGTCTTTAAGGGGTTGAATAATTGTGGCAATGAAGAAACCACATAAGAACCATTTACTACTGTATTACATAAACAATTGATGTCATTTTTAGTTGCATTTGGGTAGTTACAAAAACGTCCTTGTAGGATTTGATTCTGAATACAATTCCAAATGTACACTATAGTCCCTAAACCCCTTTACAGCATTGGGGGTTGAATAATTTTGGACACAACTGTATAGTGTACTTATTTCATATTAAGCAGTTTAAATGAAATACCAGACGAAATAACTGAGGATGTGCAAAATTTAAATTCCACTTAGATTAGTGCACAAGTAATCCTAAAACAGTAATAATCACTTTCTATAAATAAACAGTGCAGAACTATTTTTAGAAAAGCATTTCAACTCATTGTTCACTGATATAATTTATCAGTCATGGACAAAGTCAATGTGATGAAAAAAACAGGGAATAGCCAGGTCACCTGAGTGCACGCACCCTGGGATACCCTTTAATAAAATGAGTTTAGAAATAAAAAGATGTCTGGAATGCATTTTTGACTGTATTCCCACTGCATAGACAGTCCAAAATCCAGCTTATACTATGAGCAATAGTTCACACCATTACAGTGTAGTGTAGTGCAGCAAACTACATTTTTCCACATCGCAGTGCACATAAAAAAAGCGAAAGAGAAAGAAGTGTACCTCAAAGGGCAAAAGCTTAGGGAAAAATGCATTGCTACATGTATGACACACACAGAAAAAGATGCATCAAATCATGCCAAAGCGCACATCAAAAACACAGTAAATGTGCAGTTACTGGCGTAAATGGGCCTTAAAAACAAAACAATTGTACCTGGCAATAGCAATTGGAGCTCTAGCACATTTTGCTGGGTTTTTGCTGACTCTGAGATATATTTAGGATTGTCCAAAGATATATTAAATCACATTGAAGCTGTCTTTAGGGTCGCACGAAGGGCCCAGTTCAGAAAGCTGGGTTTATATTTAATATTTCTGGGTCTTTCAGTTTGAACAATGACCCCAAACCCAAAAGTGTTCTTAAAAAGCATCTCTTGAAAGTGTACCCAGACCTAATGACAATCAGAGCCAATCCCTGGCCATTTAGTGATGCTGATCCAGTAAAGGTAAGCACTTGTGGAGATATCGGACTATGCTGTAATGGATGATGTTTTTTTCTGCAACAAAACCTATTGGAAGAAGTTTGAACGAAAGGAAGAGTGGTCCAAAATACAAAAAGGGGAAAGCCTGGAATCTTATTTTAGTTTATTGGAAGGTAATGTTTTCACAAATGCAACAACATTGTTAAAGGGACAACCAAATAAAAGTTAAGGGTGGTTAAACTCAGGAAAAGTCAGCCCATTTTTGGTTTGTTCTTGGAATTTATTTGCTTTATACCTCTGTTTTATATTGCAAGAGTGCAGGTTAAATACAAAGGGAAAAAAAACATACTTAAAAAAACAACATGTGCTTAATGCAACCCCTTTTTTGTTGAAATACTACACTGAAATTTCACCAGTGGAAGAAAAAGTTAGGGTGCCATACAATTTCGGCCATGATGTATATATATATATATATATTTCTCTTTTCCCGGCTTCCGTCCATAGCAACTAGGGGAGTGATGGAATTAAACTTCCCCTGCACTGTCCTGCAGTATCATCTTGCAAGATCTCTGGTATTTGGTATTCCTGGGATCTCGTTGGAAGGATTGTAGCATGTAGTTTGACATGCAACTGATCTGACAAGCTGGTTAAACAGTATTTGCTGTATATGTGACGGTCGCTGCGTTCAGACCCCAGCCCTTCTCACCAACTCGTGACCGAAGGACTAGCCAATCTAAAACCGCGCTGTTACGTGCGTAACAATGCCATGCTCAGCTGAACCCTGCACAAAGATTTTCCAGCTAATGGACCACAATCTATGTGCCAGCAGCCTGAGAGCGATTGTTACTGGGTCAGGTTAATTACGCAATTAACCTGCCACCACCGCCTTTTTGTAGCGAAAAGGAGGAAACTCGCCAATATTAGCAATAACACTATGATGTTTGAATAATCGTCTGTATACCACTGTCACCGCAGGCAGAGATATATAGAGGTTTAAAACACACAGTAGCGATCTTCAGAGACGGATTGTTCGCATTAAAGAGCTTTAGAAACAGTTCAACACTTTTCAGATAATAGGATTTATTACTAAAAAGGTCAAAAGGGTGCAAGAACAATATTTACAGAAAAAGATGTAGCATATATATATATATATATATACACACAGAGCAATAATACAGCAAAGAGATAACAGAAGTTTTAGAGTGGTAGAGTACTTGCCAAAAGTCCTGGGTTAAGCAAATCAAGTTTCAGAGCAAAAGGGTGCCGTTCTCCCAAGTTAGTTCCGATGTTAAAAGGGAGATTTCTTCAACTCCAAGCACAACAGCCTTTTTCTAGGAACTCAGCAGGGTGTCTCCTTACAGCAGAGAACCAATCGCCTCATTTGGGAAGGGGTGTTGTAGGCAGGGGGCTCAGACTAGAACCAAAATCCCTCCCAAGTTAAACCATGGGCAATAACCTTCCCTAGGTACATGTAACATTCTATCCACGGGTAGATTAATATGCAGATTCATCTGCTGAACGTCTAGAAATCAAACATGGCATAGTTCACTATTTCAGCTAGAACTATATGGCTTTCTGCTCTCCTGTAGACTTCAAATAGGGGGAGTAAGAAATCAGACCACTCGCATTAAACTGAGCTATCCAATATATAGGCTTGGTTTTTATGTAATTATTTCCCATCTTCAGATATAAAATTATATGGAAAAGTGGGTTTTAAATGTGTTGTCTGTTTTACGGCTAGCTGGAATGTCTTTGAAGCCCAGTGAAGGACTGGTTTATGGTTTTATGATTCTCTCAGATTGAGAAGCTAACAGACACCCGGGCACCAGCTAATTTGGGATTTATAACCATGAAGCTGTCCCTCTGTGCCTGATTGCCTGTGCACTTCTGAACCCAGACACAGGGACCATGTGTAACACTCATCAGAGAGGGAGGGTGGATTGAAGGTTGAGAGATACAAGATGGAGGATTTTTAGCAAGATGGATGACCGCGTCCATCTCTGTGTGCACAATTGCTACAGTATACACCAGCAGGGACAAAGGTTTAGAATGCAGGTCTGCGTTCCAGACCTTCATCCCTGAACGTACAAGGCCCTAAACACTGGTACCGCTCAGTACAACTTTCAGCCTTGTTCATTTCCAGCCTGTCATATATTTTGATAGGCTGCCTGCTGTAGGACTGGATGCTGCACATGTCCCTCCTGGGTGCACTAAAGCATCGGAAAGGATACAGTGCAGCAGTACTGCCTCGTGTGCACAGGGCTAAAGGTGCATATCCTGGGCCTATTGTTTTAACTCTGGCTTCACTACTACTAATGTCACTGCCCTTGAACAGATATTCAGAACAGGTCATCACTCCTTTCAGATGTAACCTTCTGCATGTTTGTTTTGGCCCAAGCCAGTGATTCACCAAGATGTCTGGAAGCTGCCATTAGTGACCACCTTCTAAAATGCTACTTATGTGGCTGTTGTGCTGATCCACTGGTAAAAGTTATTATTTTTTTTAATTTAGTAGTTTTTTTTCTGACTTGTGTGCAAAAATTAGGAGAGTTTAAGAGTCAAAAGTCCTTCTCTTTTATACTACTTCTGGGTTAGTGACACAAAGTGAGTCAACATGACAACCAGGCAACCATAACTACATTTTTTTTTTAGAAAGTGAAGTAAACAGTAGCATACCTCATGTTATTTCCATGACCCTTAAACTTCTAATTTCAGAGAGATTTCACTTTTTTTTTTTTTTTTCCTAGTGTGGCCACAAGAAGAATACATAGTGGAGTATTCACTAGAATATGGATTTCTCCGTCTCTCTCAAAGCACACGGCAGAGACTCAACATCCCTGTTATGGTGGTGACACTTGGTAGGTGAAAAGTAGGCTTAGAATAAGCAAAACACAGTGGGGTTGGTTTACTGAAACTGGAGTGCTATATCTGGTGCAGCTGTGCATGATGGCCAACCAGTTTCTTGTTCAGTTAAGCTTTGACAAATTAACCTGGATGCTGATTGGTTTCTATGCAGAGATGCATCGGATTATAAATTTCTCCAGTTTTAGTAAATCAGCCCCAGTGTCTTGGTGTAGCAAGTTACAGATCGTATCAAATAGAAATATAAAAGCAACTGCTAATGCCAGGCAAAAAATTAATTGTGTTAAAGGGACACTTTTATGGTTTGGGACCAATACAGTGTTAATCTTTTAACAAGTAACTTCTTTTCTTGTCCATTGAGTTACACAGACTTTAACCGTTAGGTAATATGTTACCTACAGCAGGATTGGACACTGGAAAATGAACTGCTGCCCATTTTAGGACAACCCCTCTTACTTCCAGCTCATTTTTTCACTAGTGTCCTAGCATGGTGGCCATATTTTTTTTTCAGTTCTGCCGTAATAGACTAAGCTATTTTTGTAGCACTTTTTTTCCTTTTGATTTTGTTTTCAACATTCAAGACTCTTCTCTATATCACTTCTGGAGTGCGCCCTCTCTCCCTCTCCTCCAATGGCATGCTGGAGGAAGTGTGCACTCAGGCACCAGAACAGTTGGTACACACTCTTTTGTTGGGAACATGAATGCATGTTCCTCTTACCCTAACCTGTTAGGGTTTTGTGATCATGCCCATGGTACTGCTTTTCTATGAAGCTGAGGCATTTTGATAGGATAAATAGCCTGCGTGATCCATGCATTGTCCATGCATGGCTCATGGAGGCAAAGCGAGATACTGGTATGTCGCTGCTTGCTCCTGTATTAAGGGTGTGCACATGCACACAGAGCTGAAGTGGTTAAATTACTTTTTCTGGCCATAAATTGTCAATATTTACCAAAACAACTCTACATACAGTGCTCAGCATAAATGAGTACACCCCACAGATTTTTCAGAAAACCTTTACTTTACTTTCAGAATCAACATTTTTTATGAGACACTATACTACAAAATACTCCCACCAATGCAGGGCATTGATTGCACATATGATTTGTTAATTTGCACACATAAAGTATTTTCCTATCAAATTCATTCAAAACTATGTTGAAAAAAATGAATACATCCCAATGAAAGTCTTAGGAGCAAAGCTACATTTTAGACAACAAAATCCTAATAAGAATTCAGCTACAGGTGAGTCTTAATTATTCATTAAACAGGTGTCCAGCAGACAGTTTATTATAAAAGGGCGTTACTTAACAAAGAAAACCCCTTCCCATTTCATGCTGTCAGCAATGGCACCACATAGAAGAGAAATGTCACAAGGCCTGAGTAGGAAAATAAATTCTTTCCACAAGAAAGGTGACGGCTACAAGAAGATCATCAAAGCTTTATTATCAGTGATGCAAACATTTATCAAAGATGGAACTGCAACCATCTCACAGAGATCTCCAGGCCTCCCACGGAAGTTAATACTTTGACAGGAGTGTCTTCTGTTGAGAAGGGTTGAAGAAAATCCCCATGCAAGTTCACTGCAGTTAGCTCTTTAGCTAAGTAGAAAGCCAGACTGGGGTGATTGTTTCCCGTGACACAATGCGGTGTTCACTGCAGAAGAATGGGATGCATGGGTGTCGTCCATGAAGGAAGCTGCTCCTAAAGCCCATGCACGAAAGAGCCTGCCTAGAATATGCCAGGGCCCATGCTGAAAAAGAAGACTACTGGGACTCTACTCTGGAGTGATGAGACCAAGATAAATTTGAAACTGATGGCTTCAAAAACTGTGTAGTGTCACAAAGTTGAGTACAAAGAAAAATGCATGGTGCCTACAATGAAACATGGTGACAGTGTCCTATTGTGGGGCTGCACGAGTGCTGCTGGTTTTGGGGCGCTGAATTTCATTGATGGTATCATGAATTCACAGATGTACTGCCCTATATTGAAAGAGAAGATGCTATCGTCACTCCGTGCCCTTGGTCGTCATGCACTTTTCCAACATGACAATGATCCAAAACACACCTCTAAGGCCACTGTTGCATTTCTGAAGAAGATCAGGGTGAAAGTGATTCAGTGGCCAAGTATGTCTCCTGATCTGAACCCAATCGAACATCTATGGGGAATTCTGAAGAGACAAGTTGAGCATCACTCTTCATCCAGCATCCAGGCTCTAAAAAGAGCTTGTTCTTGAAAATGGAAAAAAAAGTTACATGTGGCAATATGTCGCCAACTTGCACATTCCATGCCTAGAAGACTTGGTGCTGTCCTTACGAATCATGGAGGTCATACAAAATACTAGATGCAGTTGTTTTTGTTGTGGGGTGTATTAATTTTTGCATCAACGGATTTGAGTAAAACTGAAGATTTTGTAATTTAAGTTATATTTCTAACCCAACCCTCTTGTATCGTTGCTGTATTGTCTCCCTTTATATTGTAAAGCACTGAGCAAACTGTGGGCGCTATATAAATCCTGTATAATAAAAATATTAACCTTACTTTCATGTAATGAGCAAAACAAACGTCCTATAAAATTTTTGTCAAAATTTGTGTTCATTGAGATATTGATTAAAAACTTTCTTTTCAAAAGGGGTGTACTCATTTATACTGAGCACTGCACATTTTAAATATGATAATTTTAAATGAACATTAAACATTTGGAGGATATTCTAACATGTAACTTTTACCCATCCTTTTATAGTGATAATGAGTTTTCTAAAATAGTAATACCATTAAAAAAAAGAATAAGTTATAATTGTAATGTACAAACCTCACTTCTGTTCTAAGTATTAGAAGTGATCTGCTACTCATTGAGAAGGTGGAAGGGAGTAGCCTGAGCTGTAAAAAGTTGGGTTTGTCTAGCTACTTATTTTGCATAGTAAGTAGGCGTAGTGTTCTCTTTTACAAGGAGATTTTATTTGGCCGCTAGGGGTGAGGTAATTTGATGAAAGGAACCTGTATAAATGTGTGTAAATTATTATTTTTTTTTTTTTTTACTAGGGCCTGTAATGTAATGACTGAATATAGGTTCTCAACTAACACATTAACCTTTGCTCTATACTAATGTTAATTGTTCTCCACAGACCCAACGCGAGACTTGTGCTTTGGGGACAGATTTAGCCGTTTTCTGCTAGATGAATTTCTTGGGTATGATGATATTCTTATGTCAAGTGTGAAAGCTTTGGCAGAAAACGAGGAGAATAAAGGTGTGTATTGCAGATATGTGAACCATTCATATTACTGTGCATTGGTTTGTGGACAGTTTAAATTATGTATGTTTATTTTTTCCTATTTTTTTTTTTCTTTATTTTTTTTTTTTCTCAGGTTTCCTAAGAAATGTGGTGTCAGGAGAACATTATCGATTTGTCAGTATGTGGATGGCTCGGACTTCATATCTTGCTGCCTTTGTCATCATGGTTATATTTGTGAGTTGATTTTTTTCCTTTTTTTTTTTTTGTCATGTTATGACAGCCAGTTTACAGAAGTGTATTTATGTGTGGAATCCAGTGCAGGAAATTTTCAATAAACTGTTAGTACCCTAATAGAGAATGCTTTACATGTTCATGTATAATGGATGTTTAAATCCCCCAGTGTCTTATATATGTTTGAATTCAGTTTCTTCTTGAAAATTTCTCCTTGTCATTTCTGTTAAGCCAGGGAAGGGAGTTTGTCTATCCGTTGCCTTTTCTGTAATGAAAATTAAAAGAAAAAAAAAAAGGGACAGTAAGGCTGGCCATGGTTGGATCGTGTGTTTTTTTTTTTTTTTTTTTTTTTTTTTTTTTTTTTTTTTCGTTCAGCCAGCATGCTGAATGAATAAAAAAACAAACTGATTCCTCCATCCACACAATTGAGGTGAATAGAGGAATCCCGCTGAGACATCTGGGTTAATTTACTAACGGTAAATAGTCTGTACACTGTAAGTGCAATTGCGCTAGATCTGAGGGGAAGCTCTGAAATGAGGGGAAGCTCTGCTGATTTTCTATCGTCCAATCATGTGCAAGCAAAAATGCTGTTTATTTTAGTTAATTATTTTCCTTGCATGTTCTCCTCAGATCTAGAGCAACTGAACTTGCAGTGCACAGACTATTTGCCTTTAGCAAATCAACCCCCTAGTATTGTGACAATGGGGATTCTCCACTGCACTGTTAGAATACACTGATCAGCAACTGCTGTTCGAGGAAATTTTTCCAACAGGCCCACCTGACAGATTGGTAGACTGACTGACTTCTGTCGAGCAGAAACAGCCACACATGGGTGAAGTTTGTCCAGGCCCTGCTGAACAGACCAGATTTCGATCCGTCTATAGCCAGCTTAAAGTGGAGATGCACTCTAAAGGGGAAAGTTGTCCTCCTCACCCCCCCCCCCCCATAGTCTTCTGGGACACGTGACATTGAAGTTCTACTCGTGCATGCACAGTGGGCACCCATCTGTGAATCCTCAAGCTCTCACAGCTGGGTGCCCATGCTGAAGATGCCATTGCCATTGCCGGGGACATAGGATGGTAAACCCAGCTGCGGTGAGGACAACGCTGGATTGAGGGACAGGTGAGTGGATGTTTTTTTAACAGTGAGCAGCTACAGTTTTTGCAGCTGCTGACTTTATTTTTTTACTTTTTGACTGGAGCTCTGCTTTAACCACTTGAGCTCCTGAGGATTTACCCCCCTTAATGACCAGGCCTCTTTTTGCTACTCGGCGCTGCACTGATTCAACTGATAATTGCGCGGTCATGCAATGCTGCACCCAAACGAAATTTTCGTCCTTTTTTTTCACACAAAAATAGAGCCTTTTTTTGGTGGTATTTGATCACCTGTGCGCTTTTTATTTTTCACGCTATAAACAAAAAAAAGACCAAAAATTTTGAAGAAAAACTATATTTTTTACTTTTAGCTATAAAAAATATATAGTAAACTCAAAGTTGGTTATAAATTTAGGCCAAAATGTATTCTGCTACATGTTTTTGGTAAAAAAAATCCCAATAAGTGTATATTGATTGCTTTGTGTGAAAGTTATAGCGTCTACAAACTATGGTATAAATACTGCAATTTACGCCATTTTTTTTGCTATACAGCGCTGTGCTAGTTTAACGGACAATTGCGCGGTCATGCAATACGGTACATAAATTAAATTTATGTCCTTTTTTTTCACACAAATAGAGCTTTCTTTCGGTGTAATTTGATCGCCTGTGCGGTTTTTTTTTTTTGCGCTATAAAAAAAAAAAGGCTGACAATTTTGAGGAAAAAAAAACAATATTTTGGACTTTTTGCTATAAAACATGTCTAGTAAAAAAAAAATGCAAAAATCAAATTTAGTCATAAATTTCTGCCAAAATGCATTCTTTCGACATGTCTTTGCTAAAAAAAAAAAAGGCCAATACGTGTAAATTAATTGGTTTACGTGAAAGTTATAGTGTTTACAAATGGCGGGAAAGATGCTGGAATTGTTTATTTTTGCTGGAATTTTTAATATTTATTTATACTAATAATGGCGCCGATCAGCGACTTATGGCGGCAATCAGCGACTTATGGCGGCGACCAGCGACTTATGGCGGGACTGCGGCGGACATTTTGACACTGGGGGGGGGGACTGACTTGGGGTCACTGACATCCCCAGTGACACCAATACAGTGATCAGTAAAAAAAAAAACACTGAAACTGTACTAATGTCACGGGGAGGAAGGGGTTAACATTTTTAGAATTTGCTATGTAAGGGGAGTGTTTTACTAGGGGGCAGGGGTGTGTACTGGACGGGGGGAGGGAGGGGGGAGCTGATCGAGGGGGAGAAACTCTTCTCTCCCTCTTCAGCTTGTCGGTGAACTGTCACAGAGCAGGGCTGTGTGCAAACAATGCAGCCCTGCTCTGTGTTAGTGATCACCGCTCATCGCGGGAAAACGGCCGGTAAAAACCGGCCGTGACCCGGCGGTGGAGACCCGCTGCTGACACCCTCGGGACAGGTAGGGCGCGCCCCCTACCTGTTTTGAAGGCAGCCGTTTTAAAACATGCTTTTGCCTACGAGCGCCGCTCTGCCACCACTTATATGCGGTTGCTGGGCGGCAAGTGGTTAACGCCACTACAGAGTAGTGGAAGGAGCTTATGTACTGAAATATGTCTTCTGAAGATCCCTAAAGTTATGCTGTTAAGTAATTATGTTATGTGGGATAGGATTTCTCGAGACAAGCAATAAAAAAAAATAAAAAAAATGGGGTGTACTCTTCAATTTCCCACAAAAACATAGGGACACATACACAGGAGTTGCTAGGATACAGTCTTCTCAACTAGGAGACAGTGCACTGAAAGCCCACTAGACTCTGTTGCCTGCAGAACCCCCTGTAGTGCCCCCTAAATGCACTGATAACCACAGGTCACTTCTGACTGTCAATATGCAGATGTGGGAGATTCTGGTTTTCATGCTGTATGCAGGCATTCCACAGTGAGAAAACCAATGCCATGGTGTGCATTGTGATCAACGTGTTCATGGACACGTATGCCCAATGTCAACTAGGCACTGGTTGAAAAAAAAAGAGCGCTTCCTGAACTTAATTTTAAACTATGTAAGATTGCCAAGTTTCATCAAAATGAATCCATTCTGAAACCTTAGCGTATTATTATTGTTTCATAATTGTGTACTAATTTTTCTCTTTAGACTCTCTCAGTCTCCATGCTCCTACGGTATTCTCATCATCAAATATTTGTCTTCATTGGTAAGTTGCTCTTTAACCTTTCATTGCTCTTTAATTTTTTTTCATCTTGCCGTTGTCATTCCTGGTTTAATATTTACCTGTGTGCTTTCTTCTGTGTAACCCCCTTCTCCACACAGTTGACCTTCTGCAGATGTTGGAGATGAATATGAGTATTGCATTCCCAGCAGCTCCATTGCTCACTGTGATCCTGGCACTTGTAGGTAAGTGGTCTATTTCATATCCTGATTCATTTTTGTTCAGTTGTCAGTAAACCTGTACTTATAAATCTTATCTTGCCAAACAGGAATGGAAGCCATTATGTCTGAATTTTTCAATGACACAACTACAGCCTTCTACATTATTCTTATCGTGTGGCTTGCTGATCAGTATGATGCTATTTGCTGCCACACTAACACCAGCAAAAGGCATTGGCTCAGGTCAGTTACTTCAATCTAATGCAATAGTCTTCTTTAACTAAGCACTTTGCTTACATGTACCCCTGCAGCTTATCCAGTTTTCCTATAATTATATATAATTACCATGCATAACTATTGCGAGCAAATATTTGTGCAAGCACTGGTTTTTAACCATTTCCCTACTGCGGTACAGCTGAATGATGACTACAGCACAGTTGTCCAGTTCTGGGTGGGCGTCCAATGACAAAATAATCTTCAAACAAAAGTAATTGTGTTATAAAGATCACCAAGTAAAGTTATCAGTCAATTAAACCAGCAGCAGGTGATATGGAGATGTCCAAAGATTCAATGTCCAGGCTCACTAGCCATCAATTGTCCACCCCCCCTTTCCTGTATCTTTTGCAAATGATTTATGATTTTTTACCAAAGGCTGGTAAGTGCGGGCTATTGTATATTTGAAAAATGAAAGTACAATTTATGCAAAAATTATAATAAAATATTAAAATATAACATTTCGAACAATGTAATGGAGCATCCCCTAAAGCAGGGGTCCAAACTTTTTTCAAAGAGGGCCAGATTGGATGAAGTGAACATGGTGGAGGGCCGAACATTTTTCCAAACATTCTTTGAACCATTACAATTAAATGCAAATAAATTATTTTATGCCAAGTTACCGTATTTTTCGCCGTATAAGACGCACCTGACCATAAGACGCACCTAGGTTTTAGAGGCAGAAAACAGGAAAAAAAAAAAAATTCTGAACTAATGGACTGCAGACACAGTACAGGAGATGACCAGAGACTGCGGACAGCACAGGGATGACCAGAGACTGCGGACAGCACAGGGACCAGAGACTGCGGACAGCACAGGGATGACCAGAGACTGCGGACAGCACAGGGATGACCAGAGACTGCGGACAGCACAGGGATGACCAGAGACTGCGGACAGCACAGGGATGACCAGAGACTGCGGACAGCACAGGGATGACCAGAGACTGCGGACAGCACAGATGACTGCTGACCTTTGGGGAGGTGGGGAGCGGGTACCTGAATTTGACAGGTACCCGCTCTTACTTCCGCAGTTGTTCTTTGATCTTACCTGTTCCTCGATCCAGCCGCGCGCTGTCTTCCCGGCTTCTGTAATGGCGCTCGGCATGACAGCCGGGTGCCCAGTGCGCATGAGCGAGAAGCACTTGCGCTTTGTGATTGGTCCGGCGGCTTCTGGGATCTGTCATGTGTCCCAGGTACCGCCTTACCATTCACAAAAAGCACCGCTTCTTGCGCATGCGCACTTGGCACCCGGCTGTCATGCCCAGCGCCCACACTACAGAAGCCGGGAAGACAGCGCGCCGCTGGATAGAGGAACAGGTAAGGTCCCGCTGCAGAGCTGAGCGGCCGGCCCGGTATTCTGACACGGCCGCGGTGGAAATACCGGACCGGCCGCTCCATATTCGCTCCATAAGACACACTGACATGGAGGGCCGTATTAAACCGACCCTCGGGCCGTAAATGGCCCGCGGGGCCGGACTTTGGACATGCCTGCCCTAAAGGTTTAAAGGGAGTCTTTTTCCTTCATATTAGCCCTTGTAGAGGGACTTTTTATAGCTTAAAAAGTAGGATATATGGGATAATGTATATATAAAAAAAATATTCTCTGCTTTTTCATCTTACGTTGAAATCACGTTTCATCTTACTAGCAGTCATTCCCCAACCGCCCCCCCCCAAAAAAGAAAAAGTGTATTGACAAACAGCAATTTGATAATGAATGGGTTAAGGCTACATTCACACCTGTGTTTTTTGCCTGACAGATGTACCTGCGAGAACCCCAGCAAGGGGGTCTGGATGATGAGCAGTGGGAGGCAGCCCCATTGAAAGCAATGGGGAGGCAGGTGGCTCCCGCAGCTAATTGCAGACACTTGCATATAATCGCTATATGGCAAGTACCTGCAAGTGGTTGGCCCTGGACGCAAACAGTCTCCCTCCCATTGCTTTCAATGGGGCTGCCTCACACAGATACTTCTCTAGGGTTCTTGCAGGTACACACTGTTGGGCAATAAGGTTAGGTGTGAATACAGCTAAGGCTTTGTTCATTGACATGCTATATGCACTTCTATCTGTTTGAAAACCTCGAAGTAGGGCAGGTACATCTTGAAGTTCCACCTGGAACTTGTAACACGTTTATGTATAGCTCTAACAGGGTCAGGTAAAGCTACATGATGCGCGCGTCATGCCTATATGCTGAAACACATGGAGATTCCAATTTGCTATAAAAAGCTGGGAGCATAAAGCAAGGAACGTAAGCACTTCAATGAATAAGGAGATAAGTGCATCCTGTGAACTGTGTTAATTTATTTACAGGTTTTTTTATTCTCCTTGATGTGGACACAGTAGCATAGGTTGCTGCCTGTGAAGAACTGTACAAATCCAAGGAGAGACTTTAACCATGCCTGTTTTGTAAAGTTTTAAACCAGTGGATTGAATTTCGAGTTTACATGTGTTCATCATTACAAACTATTCTTCAGACTTGTCTCTATAAGATATACAGAGCTCTGTTCAGGAATCTACTCAGCATGCTTGTACTGGGATTTTGTAGTTGCTGTTGGTATCCTTCATAATTGTCTGTGTATAGATAGAATTCTAAATTCTGAGAGATAATTTAGGACTGTTGTCAATTTTAAAGGAGTTCTACAGTCACAGCATACTTACTTCTTTTTTTTTTTTTTTTTTTTTTTTTTTTTTTTTTTTTAAGCAACAGCATTATAATATCAATACAAATTAGTTATTTTTGCAATCCAATATAATCCTATTTGAAAAAGCTTCTTTTATGTGGTTATTTGCTGTCAGCTGGTCATCTCTTTTCACAACTTCCTGGGGTGTAGCTGAGTCCCGGGCAGGCAGAAGATGATCTCCAGGGGCAGCTGCAGGAAAGAGCTGGGGGCTCATTCACCCGGACTTCATCTTCTTCCTTCTGTTCCACAGGGCCCTCCTCTGGCACCCCTAGCCTGACCCACCCATGCCACCATTCCTGACCAGAGCCTGCCTGACAGTGGGCCCCAACCTCTCCCTGCACACACCGGGTATCCGCCCTCCTCTGCATCTTGGCAGGTCCATTCTGACAGCGAGACATGCAGACTGCCCTGCCTCTATTCTGTACTCTCCACACTCTGCCAGCAGCCTAGTAAATGGCAGGCAAATGAAAACTTCCATGCTACGACCTGTCTCCTACTGGGAGTAGTGTGGAAGTTTAATTTGCCTGCTGGGGGGAACAGACGACTGGTATTATAACAATCTGAATACCCAGCAAGTGGCTGGAGAGTGTGATTTTACAGTGTTGTCCCCCCCACCCCCCCCCTCCCAGTCCAGTGCCCTTATGCTGGTGCTGACCCTTCATACCATGACTTGCTGTAGCACTTGAGTAACAACCACACTACTCAGCAAACGTATTCAGACAGACTTGTTTAGGAAGAGTGGATGTAAATGACTGTTTCTCTTGTTGAAAGGTGATTACTAACAGAACTTTGTGTTCTCTGGTGCCTATGATGGATGGAGTATCATATACAACTGTTTGTATACCTCTGTTACTTCAATTGCAATTCAAAATAACAAGCCAGTAAAAATGCCCTAAGTATAGGAAGGAGTGTATTCTGTGTTTGTTTTTTTTTTTTATTTTATTTTTTTTTATTTTATAGTTTTCTGTGTTATCTTTATCTAATTGCTCTTTTCCTACAGATTTTTCTACTTGTATCACTTTGCATTTTATGCCTACCACTATCGCTTCAATGGACAGTACAGCAGCCTGGCACTTGTGACATCCTGGCTTTTCATCCAGGTAATGACCTTCTGTTTTTACAGCCACTAAACACTACAAAATGCAGTACTAGCTTGGAATGCTGCTTAAAGTTTTTAACGTAAACCTAAAAAAAAAAAATGGTGCCCCCTGCAGGTTGATGTCATACTGCATGTGCTAGCATGCATCCCATACTAGCGTATTATGACACTTGCCTTAAAACAAAGCCCTCCAGTGGCGCAGTGTCACCATTGACAGGGCTTATATCTTCACCAGCTTCCTTCTGGGTTCGCGGGCTCCAGCCATTTGAATGGATGAGCCTCAGTGACATCACTCCCAGGCATGCACAGCTCTCTCAGTGGAGGCTGTCCACAGAGTGCAGTCGGTGATGTCACCTGCTGTAACTAAAGTAAATATCTTCTAAACGGTGCACAATTAGGAGATAGTTACTGTAGGTAAGCCTTATTATAGGTGTTTATCACTGCTCAAGGTAGGGAGACTCCCAATCTCCAAGCACAACTCCTCCTGTAGGTGTTAGCCCAGCTCTGCTTAGATGAGAACAAAGGACGCCTGATCGGCTGCACTCCAAACAATCCACTTTATTGAACCAAGATAAAACCAAAACAGACAGTGGAAATGCAGTGGGGGACTGGCAGGTAAACGCGTTTCACGCTAAAGGCAGCGTTGGGGTAATGAATAAGCTCTGTCTTTAGCGTGAAATGCGTTTACCTGCCAGTCCCCCACTGTATTTCCACTGTTTGTATTGGTTTTATCTTGGATCAGTAAAGTGGATTGTTTGGAGTGCAGCTGATGAATGTCCTTTTGTTCTCAAGCCTTATTATAGGCTTATTTGTAAATTAAAAAAAAACAAAAAAAACTAACTTTACTACTAAAGGTACACCCCAGACAGAATTAAAGATTAGGCTATAAAAAGGAACAGCTTATAGTGTTTTTTGTAAAGGCATTGCTGTAATACAGTGGGCCACTCCAGGTACAAACCTTGCCCTGTTGCTGGTATTTTGGTGTTTTCTGGACACCATTTTGTCTTGTGTTTTAAAGTCTGAGTGTTCCAGATCCTGTCCACTGCAAGCTTCGTTGTCTATAAGTGGGTCTGTACATGCACTGCTCAAAAAAATTTAAAGGAACACTTTAAAAACACATCATATCTCAATGGGGAAACATATGCTGGATATCTATACTGATATGGACTGGGCAATGTGTTAGTCACATTAGGATGCCCCATCATTTGATGGAAATGAAAATTATCAACCTACAGAGTACTGAATTCAAAGACACCCTGAAAAAGTGAAAAAATGATGCAGCAGGCTAGTACATTTTGCTGAAATTTAATTCCAGCAACTCCAAATGGTACTCCATAGTTGGTATGGCCCCCAGGTGCTTGTATGCATTCCTGACAATGTCTGGGCATGCTCCTAATGAGAGGACGAATGGTGTCCTGGGGTATTTCCTTCCAGATCTGGACCAGGGCATCACTGAGCTCCTGGACAGTCTGAGGTGCAACCTGGCGGCATCGGATGGACCAAAACATGATATCCCAGAGGTGTTCTATTGGATTTAGGTCAGGTGAGCGTGGGGGCCAATCAATGGTATCAATTCCTTTTTCCTCCAGAAACTGCCTGCATACTCTGATCACGAGGCCAGGCATTGTCGTGTACTAGGAGGAACCCAGGACCCAGTGCACCAGCATAGGGTCTGAAAATGTGCCCAAGGATTTCATCCTGATACCTTATGGCAGTCAGGGTGCCATTGTCTAGCCTGTAGAGCTCTGTGCGTCCCTCCATGGTTATGCCTCCCCAGGCAATCACTGACCCACCACCAAAACGGTCATGCTGAATGATGTTACAGGCAGCATAACGTTCTTCGCAGCTTCTCCAAACCCTTTCACGTCTGTCACGTGCTCAGGGTGAACCTGCTTTCATCACCCCCTTCCTTTAGATTATAAGCTCTATGAGCAGGGCTCCAATTCCTTCTGTACAGAAATATATTGTAATTATACTGTCTCCCATTATATTGTAAAGCGCTGTGCAAACTGTTGACTCAGGCCACCCTCATGAAGTCTGTTTCTGATTTTGTTTGGTCAGAGGCATTCGCACCAGTGCCCTGCTGGAGGTCATTTTGTAGGGCTCTGGCAGTGCTCATCCTGTTCCTCCTTGCACAAAGGAACAGTTACCAGTCCTGCAGATGGGTTAAGGACCTTCTGTGGCCCTGTCCAGCTCTCCCAGAGTAACTGCCTGTCTCCTGGAACCTCCTCCATGCTCTTGAGACTGTGCTGGGAGACACGGCAAACCTTCTGGCAATGGCATGTATTGTAATGTGCCATCCTGGAGGAGTAGGGCTGCCTGTACAACCTCCGTAGGGTCCAGTTATTGCCTCATGCTACCAGTAGTGACACTGACCCTAGCCAAATACAAAACTAGTGAAAAACAGTCAGAAAAGTGGAGTAGGGAAAAAAATGTCAGTGGCCTCCACCTGTAAAACCATTCCTGTTTTGTGGGTTGTCTCATTATTGCCCATCTAGTGCACCTGTTAATCAGTTTCAGTTGCTTTGGTGTTGATGAAATGAACAACAACCCCCTCTGCTACCTAACTGACCAGATCAATGTTCCAGGAGTTTAATTGATTTGATGCTAGACTTTGATTAAAAAGTGTTCTTTTTAATTGTTTTGCGCAGTGTACATTTTTATGGTGAATCCCTCTTGAATCCACCTCTGTGCTGACTCCTGTCTTGCCCACCTACAGGTATACCTGTCAACACGTCTATGCTCATTGGCTCCTTTCTCAAGAACAGTTGGGGAACGTTTCAGAATTATTTTCATAGATTGTGATATGTTGCTTCCATACTGTATTAGTATAAAAAACTGCTCACATGACAGGTTTAGTGCAGCTAGATAACTTTTTGTATGTGTAACTTTTTTTTTTTTTTTTTTTTCTTTCCAGCATTCAATGATCTATTTTTTCCATCACTATGAACTCCCTGCAATCCTCCAGCAGATTCGGATTCAGGAAATGCTCCTTCAGAACCAGCAGGCAGGTCAGAACCAGACAAGCCTTCAAGATAACCTAAATAACAATACTGCATCTGAGCCATCCATTGTAAACCCCCCGCCTGCTCCTGGACTTGCCCTTCAACCGACTACATCTAGTTTGGGTGCTGTAGGTGTGATTTTAACGGATCCTAACTCCGGCGTGGGCAGTGCCGAAACATCACCTATAGAAGTTGGTACACCTCGTATAGCTCCACAGTCTGAAGAGTCAACTATGGAAGCTGCTTGCAGTGAACTCCTTGAACAAAGTACTGCAGAAGTGACACAGACTGGGGATCCTCCTCCCAGGTTGCCTACTGCTACACCTGGAAACAGCCCTCACAAACTGACTGAACCCAAAGTGGAGAATGGATCCCTTCCCTCAGACTGTAACCCAGGATTTTTAGATACCAGCCTTGATAATTCAGAGCAAAGCAATCTCTCATCAGGGCTGCTAACAGAAGCTAGTGCTCCACAGCCAAATGCACATGATACAGAGCATATTGCTGTGGACTCCTGAACAGAGTCTCTCTCCAAAATATTCTTTCCATACAACTTTCATATGGGGGACTAGGGAGAAAAGTACTTTCCCCTAGCAAGGGGCTGTATGGTAGATTTATTCCTCTGCTATTGGAGTCAGGGGCCTGCTGCACATTCAGTCCAGTGCATGCGTGTGTTGGTGTACACGCACTCAAACTTGACTGCATTTGCTTTAGTTTCATTTTTATTCTGTCATTTAAGCTAAATGCCACAAAGTCTCAATCTGGAAAAATTCAGATGCATAGAGCAGAGGTAATGTTTCCTTAACATTTTAATGTAGGGTATTTTGTGGGCATATATGCTGTGCACTCTCTTCCCTACCTATGAATGTTAAACTGCTCATCTACGATCAGTCATATTTCATAAACAAAAAAATATTCTAACGATCCGCTGCTGTTTAATTTCTTTATAAGGAGAGAAAATCATAGATTTGAGATTACCCCACAATAGAAAGGCAATTTACGGGTGATCTGATTAGTTTGTTTAGGAATTTTTAAAGATTGGATTCAGAGTCTGGTGTTTTTATATCTACATCCACATATTCCCTGCTTACAGTTCTATGGAATGTAAGTGTGTAAGTGGGGAGAAATATACTTGCAGAGTTCAAATTTGTTACAAAGTTGTCCCATGTAGTTTGGAGAGCTGGTTGTAACACAGCTTGTGTACAACCTATTTATGTATATGTGCCTTTTTATCTGTGGCTGCAGGCAAGGCCTGTGTTTGTTTAAGGCCTGCTGTTTAACTGTGAAGCATTGCAAGGTGTCCATGTTGGCCAGGACAACAAATCGGATCTTTAATTTTCTAACCACCTCTGACACAAAGCAGGCATTTGGTTAATTTTGGCAACTGTTGCAGTTTGCTTTCTTCCAGCTCCATAAATCATCCTAAATGCGTGAAATATGTTTTTCTCTTATCTTGCACTTTTGTATAATCCTATAAATTGTTGTGTATGTTAGTGTATACTTACATGCACTTGTTTATGTGCTTTAGAAAAAACTATATAAAACAAACATATTGGCTTGCTGCAAACTATAGCTGTATTCATAATAGCAGATTAGCAGTTCTGGTAAAATCCATATGCATAGTTATGCAGTTTTTACATGGGGCCAAAATAATTTTTTCTGCCCTTATCACTGCCAGTTTGGCGGAGCTTTGAACACTAAGGAAACACTGTAGAGTGTAAAGTCCACTTCCTTTTCTCCTGCAAAAAAGCTGCCATCACAACTGTCAAGGGCACAAAATTGGGAGAGAATTTGACTGTGTCCTATTCATATTGGGAGCTGCTTCTAGAAATGGATATGTTTTCTTCAAGAAACAGTTTTAATACTAGCCTTCATGAGTAATTCATTATTAGGACTCGCCAGTGACTGTAGTAATGGCAATATTGTATTGTCTTTCTTCTGATATGTCATTGAATAGTTTAATTGTCATTAATTTATAATCGGCACACAATGGGCTGTCGACCTTTTATGTACCTTACTAGTCTTAAAATTTCCTGCATTTCCTCCTTTATTGCTGCAGTTTTTTTTTTTTTTTTTGCCTGGTGCAATAATGTAATTAAGCCAAAAATAAGTTCCCTAAAGAAATATTTAATGTATGCACATTTGTCACACTGTGCTCATGTTGCCTTCCTTACCAAGAGTAATTTGACATGATATAATATGTAAACTAAAGTAAATTTTACTTATGGTGTCACAAAAATTTAAACCCAACTGCCCTCCCTCCACACACATACACACACCTTTCTTCTTTTTTTTTTTTTTCTCTTTTTTTTTTTAAGTTCTGGATAGGTTAAATACTTAGGCGCTCAGTTTAGTTTGCTATTGCAGAATCTCCAACAGGGTGTCTACTATGAAAACAAATAAAGTAGTTCAACTAAAAAAAAATGTGACCCTAGTTTAAATAAAAGCTAACAACTGGAATAAAATTATTTTCCAAACCTTGACCGCTGCAAAATCCTCATGAATTAAGATTTATTTGTTTAAGACAACCATTTTGTGATTTAGCTAATAATTGATAGATAAATGTTTTTTCATGATTTACAGCAAATGTTTGTTTTTGTGCAGAAGCTTTAAAGTTCGGACATGAGAGATATTACAATTCTCTGTTGTTGAAAACCTTTTAACCAATACTAATGAAACAGCCCTAAGTCCGAACAAGACTGGTGGTAAATTTCTGTACGATCACCGCATACATCCAGTCGGTTGCACCGCTGATAAGTGTATTCTGACAGCAGGGGTGTCCAGCTGTTACAATAAAAAGGTGCAGTGGGGGGATTTCCCTATCGAACTTGAATGTGTGAATGAGGCAATCTGTTCCTTTTTTTTTTTTTTGATCAGCCAGAGGGCTGCTTGAAAAAAACTGAACAATGTATGGCCAGCTTTATTCTGTCCACATGATTCCAACTGAATAGGCATTAGGACACATGGCTGGCACAGAAGAAAGGATGGTGGAGTAGAGTTTTCCTATAAAAGTTAAGTTTCCCCCCTCCTTTTACTCTCTTTGACGTGACTTTTTTTTTGTAAACATGCATGAACCTGACCTTCATGTATTGAATCAGTTAAAGCGTTTCTGCCAGACAATTTAGTGACTTTGCATCAAGCGAAACTGCATTTGGAAAAAGAGACAGTCCTGTAACCTTCTTGACAGTGATGATACAACAAATTCTCCTTTTTAACTTTTTTTTTTTGGAGGGGGGGGGGGTCCTTTTTGGGTTATTTGCCTACCCATGTGGCTATTTAATAAAATAACATGAGGGATAATATGAAAGTTTTGGAGCATGGATGTGGATGTTAAGGACCAACTTGCAACTGATTCACAAGGAAATGTAACCATAACCAAGTGAAATTTGTGGGGGGTGGGGGTTTTTATAAATGTGATATTTGAAATTTTGGTAAACTTGTGACCTGATTGGCATTCTAACATTCTAATTTTGTCTTTATAATGTCCCTCTTGAGTCTTTGACTCTGGTCAGGCTTTGCTGAAAGCTTGTTGTAGAGGCATACAGTGCCAACTTTGTCGTTGACCCATAGCAGATATATTTTGTTTTTAAGAATGTGGTTGGCAGAGATGAGCCTTGCTGCTACAGAGTGAATAGTTGCATAATTATGGATAACTAATCTGGATGCAGCAACTTCCCCTATGCACAGCCTGGAGTGAGTTTATGGTTTTAATTTCAGTGGACTGAGTACATACTGAGACAGATTTGTGCACAGCACCCAACATTCTATTTAATTGTACCTCATGAAATTGATAAATGGTGTTTGTATATATGATAATAAATATTCTATCTGAAACATGTGGTGTGCATTATCTTACCAGTAGAGAGTTGGTTTCTGGTGCAAAAGACCTCCATGTGGATTTATCAATATAATGTTTTTAACCAGAAGCTATAATTGTACCTATACCCTATATATATGTGTGTGTGTAGTATTATTATTATACAGTATTTATATAGCGCCAACAGTTCGCTCAGCGCTTTACATTACAATGGGGGACAATACATGAGACAGTGCAATAACAATACAGTGCGATACACGAGGGGTTAGAGGGCCCTGCTGCTTGGAACTTACAATCTAGGAGAGTGTGTGTATATATGTATATATGTATATATGTATGTATATATATATATATATATGTACACACGCACACACACTTAATTTATTTATTTTTTGTTTTACAAATAAACACATTAGGTGCATCCTTAAGTTGGCCATACATTATACAATTTTCTTATTCAATTTCCTTTAGATTTACCTTCAATTATGTAGTTCAAGGGCCTGCTTAATTACATACAAATTGATAGTGTTTAGATTTACCAAAACCATACAATATGAGGTCAAACCTAAAGGAAAATTGTATAATGTATAGCCAGCCTTAAAGAGCAGCTGAACTTTGGAAGCTACGTTTTTCTGTGGTTTCTGATCTTTCCTCCATTACTGACTTACCATGCCTTGTTCTGCACAGTTTCAGTGCCATCTTGGTAAAGGTGCAAGGTTTGGCATCTTTGTCAGAGAAAAAGAGCACTGCAAAAAGTTAGACAATCAAGGATACATCTAAGCTAACTACATCTGACTAGTTATTTTGAACAGGGAACTTTTAAACCCATTGCCCAGATGTTACTCTCCTGCAGACTGTTAACTTTACCATATTCTGCAATAAAGGAATACCCAACTGTATTAAATTAGGTTTTAAGTTATTAAATTAAGTATACCAGTTGGAGTTCAGCTTCCTAAAAGTATAAGCAGTAGATTTCTATGGATATTGTTTTCATATCATTTCTGCTTCCTAGTACAGCTGAAGGCAAAGGGATTTGGTCTTGCAGTTGCTATAAATTCTTCTCAGTGTGCGTCTTCCTTTCTGAATATGAGAGTTACTTGCCATATTGCATTTTGCTTGTGTTTGCTGGTAAACGCATATGAACGTCTAACCCTCTATTGTGTCATATTTATTTTTTTTTTTTCTTTAAGCCCCTATGTTAGCTTGTCCCAGCACAGTGTTGCAGAACAGTGTGTGGGGATTTTCCAAATTGCAAATGTAAGCAACCCATTTCTTTTTTTTTTTTTTTTTTTTTTTTTTTAATACTGGAAATGGGCTTTCATTATCCTATGCTGTCTAGCAGAGCTGAGCACAGGAAAATTTTGTGCTGTGCACTTACTAGGCTTTTATCTTCAAGAGGTGTGAGTATGTATGTTTTTATACAGCGGGTAAAGAAAGTATTGGAAAACGTCAGCATTTTTCTCAGTGAATCTATTTCTAAAAGTGCTATTGGCATGAAATTTTCACCACATGCCGGTAACAATCCATGCAATCCACACATACAAAGAAACCAAATAATAAAAACCGAATAAGTTAAAAAATTAAGTTATTTGTAATAAAATGGAATGACACAGGGAAAATGATAGCCTCAAGATGCCTCCTGTATAGAGAAACTAGTCGCATGCATTGCTCAGGTGTGATTTTCTTCCGCACAGTCTTCAA